AAAAAACTAAATTAAAGAAATTACACAAAAAAGAGAACTTTAAATAGTTAATTTGATACTAATATCGCTTATTTTATCAAAATTTTATAATATATTCAAATTTATATTTTATTCAAAAATAAAGACATTTTGTTTTTCTTAAAACCGTATAAAATCGCATGTATTCATATGATGTGAGTACCTTCTAGTGTGTGTGTCTATATATATATATATATATATATATATATATATAAAGGCTAAAGATTTCCGACAGAATTTGATTTTTTTTATAAAAAATTAAATTCCTTTGGAAGCTGTCGGTAATTTTAAAAGAAAAAAATGTTTTATTTTCATTTATTTCCTACAATATATATAAAGGTTAACAATTTTTGGCGAATTTTCGATGAAATTTAATTTTTTTTATTAAAAATTATATTCCGTCGAAAATCCGTCGGTAATTTTAAAAGAAAAAAATGTTTTATTTTATTTTTTTTCCTACCAAAAATATATATATAAAAAGGTTAAACATCTCCGACGAAATTTAATTTTTTTATTAAAAATTATATTCCGTCGGTAATTTTAAAAGAAAAAAAAATGTTTTATTTTATTTTTTTCCTACAAAAAATATATACATAAAAAGGTTAAACATTTCCGACGGAATTTAATTTTTCTTATTAAAAATTAAATTCCATCGGAAATCCGTCGGTAATTTTAAAAGAAAAAAAATCCATCACAAATCTGTTGAAAAACAGTTTTAAATAATTTTATTTTTTTTTCAAAAATTCAGTGGGGGATTTGTAGGGGATTTGTGGCGGACGTGGATAAAAGTTGATTTTTTTTTACTTTTTTGGGATCCGTCGGAATATTTTCGATGGAAATTCCGCCAGAAAATTATGTCGGTGATACCCTTTTTTTAGTAGTGATCATAATCTAAGTGTTAGATCATGGTTTCTATGGTCTGTAGGAGTTGAGAGTTTTATATTTGATTGTCACCATATAATTAATACTGGCAGGTTCGTTACGAACCTAAAATTGATTATTGAACCTGGGAATTGCCTACAGCGCGACAAGTGATATATTTATCAAGAATACAGATGTGTTATTAATCATGAATGTGTCATCAATGATGAATATTCTTTCTAAAGGACCTTTGATACATTGTGAACGTTCCCAGGTTTCTAACCAATCTTGGGTTTTTAACGAAACTTATATATATTTATATGTGCGTATATTTCAAGAAGACTGATCTAAGGAAAAGGAATTGACGTGAATACAGAACAAACATATTCTTTCTAACACATAGATTAATAAATGAATAGGGACACCTTCGATAGGTATTCATCATCGTTTTTGGAACAATCGAAAAAGTCAAAAAGACTAACACACACCTACATGTCTGACACATGTGTGTGTATAATATTATACACATATACATATGCATAGTTGCATACACATATATTTATATTTATATATAATGCATTATGCATGACAACAAACACAAAAGTTGGGAGCTGTTTTGTCTGTATTTTATTTTAACACCACAAAAAATCAATGAGTTCCATAGACATCCGGCGACACTCTCGCCGGAGCAAATCTGTTTCATACTCRGAACCAATCTCCGATGATTCTTCTATCCCATCAACGCCACTGCGATATCTCGGCATCCCCTTTTCTTGGGAGCAATTCCCTGGAATCCCCAAGAAAAACACTTACAAGAAGCTTCACGAATCTTCACAGAATCTCCTCCCACTGCCACCGTCGACTAACAAGTCTCCGAYGATGAAGAAGAATAAGAGCAGCCAAAATTTCAGAAAAGATCCATTTTTTGCAGCCTTCGTCGAGTGTTCCAAAGACAGTGATGATACTWATAATGATAAAGAATTGGGCGACCGATCTGGATTTGTGGTGAACATGTATTCTTCTTGCAAGAGAACTTGTTCCGTTTCTGAATCGATTGTTTACCGGCGGAGATCGRCGACAGATTATTTGTGATTGTGATTGTGAGGGACGGATGCAGATCAAAAGTAAGCAATAATACAAGACCCCACCTTTTTTCAAGTCATTTGACTTGATTTGATTTGATTAATGGTTTGTGTTTTCAAGAAAATTAGTTATTGTTTTTTTAATTTAATATTTCTTTTAATCAATTACATAAAGTTTAGTAATTATATTAATGATATGATTTTTGTTTAATTTGATATATAATTCATTGCAATTTGAAACAGCCTGACAAAAATATTAAATGTATGTTAATTAAAAAAAAGAAATTATTAAAACCGATATGAATGGAAAAATAGATGTATGATTAAAATATTAAATTAAAATACATTTTTTACAACTATTTGAAATTTAAAAAAAAATACATACACACATAGATCAATTTTATGTGATTGATCATAAAAAATTTGAAAATGGGATAACGTGTGTATTTATTTAATATTATTGAAATATATATTTTGTCGGTGAATGTATTCGACAATATATATGCATTGATGCATATACTCACTAAAATTCATTATTTTATAGTTGCATATTCTGTTGTTAACTATTTAATCAGTGCAAGCTACGCTAATCGAAGTATTTTTGCTTTTTTCATATATTCGTATCATGTTCCTTAATTATCTTATTCACTTAATTATCATATTACATAATTATCTTATTTACTTATTATTGTGAAACAAWACCGTGATAAATATTAACATAAAAATTATTATTCCACATATGAATTTTAAACAAAAATCATTATTTCAATTATTAGCTTTCTGGTTTTACATATAAAACTTTACTTAAATTTTCTTAATTATCTCATTCACTTTTTGATTTCACCGAACTTTGGTAAAAAATGAGAAACTTACAGAGTTCATATATAAAACAACAGTATGAACTTTAAAAAAAAATTGTTTCATGTATGAACTTTGTTTAAACTACCTTAATTATTTCATTCACATTCTGATTTCACCTACGAATTTTGATAAATAATCTGGATCAACCAAAGTTTATACACGAATAAAAAGGAATTTAGTTTAAAAAATAACCGACTTYAAGGGATAAATGGAATTAAAGTCGAAGCTTAAGGGGCAAAAGAAAGAACTTTAATTCCAAAAATAACCAAATTATTTTTTAAAAATAAATCACAATTTGTTTCRGTATTTCCCTTTATTTAATTCCATATAATTTATTTATTTTTTTTATCAATTTATAACCACCAATTTAACCATAACATTGATAAAAAAAACGAATGCAAAGGTTTAGCAAATGATTGTGTCTCTGTTGTGATGTATTGAACCTGTGATTTTGGTACGATTTTGGAACTCTTGTACAATTTTGTATTTGTGATTTTGAACCTATGATTTGTGATTTTGGTACAATTCATTTGCTTCTTTRTTGTGATATATTTATGAACTCGTGTATGCATTTTGGTACAATTCATTTGCTTCTTTGTTGTGGAACGTGTGCTGTTTTGAACATGTGATGTTGGTCTAACTTTATCTAGATTGTTAATTTTCATTTAGATTGGTTATTTGGTAAAAGAAACACTAAACTAAACAACTCACTAGGGTAATTGTTCATATTATGCAATTCTGTCATGTCCTGTCATGTCTTATCAAACGCTGAACAACTGTTTTGTACTATTATGTCTGTCCGCATACCAAACGCACCCTAAAGGTTCTCACATGAACCGTTAATAATATATAGGCGCAAAATCATATAAAACCCTTCTATGTCTTAGAAACTTTATGAACCAAAACCACAAAGGAAGTGCCCGATTGGTTTAAACTTGGCTCCAAAGGTCAAAAGTACCAGGATGTAACATCCCAAAATTTCGAATACTTAAATATATCAAAACTAGTATCCCGAGATCAAACACTTACATTGCAGCGGAAATAAAATTTTTATACTTACCAATTATATCGTCATCTAAATTACAATCTTGAGAAGCATAACTTTGCTCTATATATCAATGCTTTGATCTCCACATAACCTTCTTTGGAGCTAATCTTTATATCTCTTTATTGCACTTTTCTTTCCACTCAAATAGCCGCCTGGGTGAAATTTTTTTAAAAAAGTTTGGGGTGAGCCTTAGGCCCGGTGAATCCACGGTTTTCATGCATGAACAACAACTTTTACAATGAACAATTTTCACGAAGTTTCATAATTTTAGCATGCCTTGATGAGAATAATACTTTTCACAAAATAAATATATTATAGTGCGTGTCTACATCACAAAGCAACAACGTCATGGAAGATATCTACCTCACACAACATTACTTGGCGAACTCACACAGCATGTCCGCACTTACGGCTTAGACAAGCGCACAAAGCATGCTCGTCTTTACAAAATCATACCGTAGTACATCCCCATTGCCACACAAATACTCAAAACACATATTATAAAAATATCGAACTTTTCACGCATATATAACATATCAAAAATCTCGAGAAACTTCAATCAAACTTGTGCATACTTATAAATAAGGCATGCAATAATTTTTAAAGTAAATCACTTGTAACTCACCATACAAGTCATAACTCCAAATCGTTCCTCGAAGTTCCTCATGTTCTCCCAAAAAAAAAAACGCATCAAACTTGTTGCGCTTCACCAAATCATCCTCATCTTTCACCTCTCTTATACGAGTTTCCTTCCCCGAGAATTTTTCATCTCTATGCTTGAAGACCTCCCCATATATACTTAGTYATCGGCGGTTTCACGGAATATGAAACGATAAGCCATAATTAATGGTCGTAGGTTTCCTGACCATTGAGTTTCCTATCATTAATATTATATTCAATTTCTTTCTTTTTTTTTTGGTTATTACAAACTTTCCCCCTTAACAAAATTTCGTCCTCGAAATTTTCCCTATGCAAATAAATGACGGGATCTCAATCTCGTCCCCTTATCAAGTTCYCAAGTAGCCTCTAAACCATTAAGACGTCTTCATTGAACATTCACGAGAGAAATCCTTTTGGTTCTTAGCTTTTTTTTCTTTTCACATCCTTAAGAGTTACGACTTACTTTTTATCTATTGAACACTTCTTTAAATTAAATACATTATGTCATAAATTTCACCATACCAACTGTTTTACTGTCTGGAGTTCTAAACATCCGTTCATCCTTGAGAATAACTTATATTCGCATYCTAATAATCTTYTATCCATCGCTAAAGCAAATTAGTGGAGTTTGTCACCAAAACTTTATCCACCAACACCACTCTACATCTATTTTTATCTCATCTTACCATGTGTTTTGCATAAACACATMTCTATCAATGTCATTATATCCAAGGATATTAAACCATCTAAYGACTTCTCTGCTTTAATTTGGTTTAAGACTAACCCCAAATTAACTTAAATCACCACTCTAATCACTATAAGTCAATCTTTAGTCACACGTCGATCAATAATAAAATCTTCTGTTCACAGTTTAAGTTTAGGTTTCAGTAACCTAATTCACTTAAACTTTKGCTCTGATACCACTTGTAACATCCCAAAAWTTCGAATACTTAAATATATCAAAACTAGTATCCCGAGATCAAACACTTACATTGCAGCGGAAATAAAATTTCTAAACTTACCAATTATATCGCCATCTAAATTACAATCTTGAGGAGCATAACTTTGCTCTATATATCAATGCCTTGATCTCCACATAACCTTCTTTGGAGCTAATCCTTATCTTTCTTTATTGCACTTTTTTTTCCACTCAAATAGCCGCCTGGGTGAAAAAGTTTTAAAAAAGTTTTGGGTGAGCCTTAGGCCCARTGAATCCACGGTTTTCATGCATGAACAACAACTTTTACAATGAACAATTTTCAYGAAGYTTCATAAATTTAGCATGCCTTGATGAGAATAATATTTTTCACAAAATAATATATTATAATGCACGTCTACATCACAAAGCAATAGCGTCATGGGAGATGTCTACCTCATACAGCATTACCTGGCGAACTCACACAACATATCYGCACTTACKGCTTARACAAGCTYACAAAGCATGCTCATCTTTACAAAATCATACCGTAGTACATTGTCATTGATACACAAGTACTCAAAACACATATTATAAAAATATCGAACTGTTCACGCATATATAACATATCAAAAATCTCGAAAAACTTCAAACAACTTGTGGATAATAAGGCATGCAACCATTTTAAAAATAAACCACGTGTAACTCACCATATAGGGATGGCAACGGGGCGGGGATGCGGTGGGGTTTGCAATCCCCGGCCCCGGCCCCGGTTTATATACACAATCCTCGGCCCCGACGTCGGTACCCGGCGGGTACGGGGATTTTCTTTTCGGCCCCGGTCAACTTTCGGTCAACACCCGGTCAACCCCCGGTCAACACCCGGTAAGCAATAACTGTTGGCCTTAAGCATTAGCAAGGAAGAATTGCTTTTCCAAACTCAGTTTTCAAGCAAAAGTCCAGATTTGCAGAAGAAACAGAATGATCACAAAGCAGAAATATGAAAAAGAAGGCCAACCTAAGTCATGAGTTTTGAAACACAAAGGAACACCATCCATGTAGTTAATCTAGAAGGAAGAGATTAACAACTGTTTAACAATGTAAACAAAGAATGGAAACAAAATTAAATAAGCCTAAATCTTAAAAAAATTATGAATGGAAACAAAATTAAACAAAATTATGACCTAATTAGTAATTATATAAGCCTATCTAAATCTTAAAAAAACCTACTGACCTCAACTCTTGAAGAAGACAATGCTTGGGTCGATTGACGAACGAGGCAACAAGCCACAGCCGACTGACCTCAACTCTCGAAGAACGAGGCAACAGCCAACAAGCCACAACCGACTGTGGTTGGGTCGATTGACGAGGATCAAGCTGTCAAGGCTCAAGCCGTGGTTGAAGGGTCCGTATGAGTCGAGTCAGCAACAAGGAGAAGGGGTATCAAGGGTGAAGGGCGTAGGCAAAACCGAAGGCGATGGCGTAACAGTAGAGTAGTGTTAGTGAATGCCTAAAAACCAATCAT